TCAAATAGAGCTTGAGGTAGACAAAGAGTAGACCGACACTTCCGCCGCCTGTTCAGCACTGCAATAAAACAAAAATTATTAATATGCCACAGACAGCAAAGCTACAGCAACTCGATTTTTCTACCTTCTCCTTCTTTAGAAGTCTTACCCCAAAAAACCGACAGTCTAGGAAAAAGGAAGCTATCAAATCACTTAATTCGCTTTATCCCATTTCCAGAAACCATCCAATTCAGATCGTTCAATTTCTTCCTCTTTCTTTCTCTCTTCTCTTACACCCTCCCTGCTCTCTATGTTTCCTCTTCTTTCTGCAGAACAGTTTTGCAAATTAGTCACATGATTGTTCAGTACACGGGTGGGAGGCTTTACTGATGATTCCTGCTCCTACCGGTACGCAAAGTTCGGTCTGTGTTTATAGCTAAGGGATGAACTCAGACTGCGTCGTAACACGTCTTCTTACACATAACACTTCACCCAGTCTCTTCTATTCTACTATTTCACATATTTATCCAACTTTTCTTTTGCTCTTTTCAGTTCTAATTGCTACGTATCGAGCAACAGTAATCCGCTTTCCAATCACCTGGGCTTATTAAAAGGCCTATCATAGATGATCAACACTTCGTTCTGGAGGCGTTCAATTTTTCGAACCGCAAGTACTGCTCGGCAAAAAATTAGACCACAAATGCAATTATGTAATAAATGTGAAAGCTGGCTTATTATCATGCTTTGCGGGGAGTAGTAAAGAAGATAATCTCTCTTTTATAATAATAGTCATCTGTGGGTCCATTTCTTGGATCACAAATGGAACCTAACAACATGACTTGCAGCAGATATTCCTTGACAAACCTATATTGGCGGTTTATATCACTATTTCTAGGATTTCTTATTTCTCTTGCTTTTTCATGTTTTCGCTCTTCTGATTTTATAACGGTGTTTGCTGCAATAACTTCCTAAGTCCACTCTACTTCAGTTGAACCAGTTGCTTTTTTCTTTATTTTCACTACATTTGTTAAGCTGGTGCGTGTGTAGAAAGAAAGCAACACTTACGAGGACTTGAATCCCGCCTGATCAGTGGCACAGCCCTGTACCGCGGCCTCCAATCTCGGATCTGCTCCGCGGTCATCGGTACTCGCACTGGTGCTTTTTGCTCCTCCACTACCGATTTCCTCTTCTCACACGATCTTTCATCCCTCATATTACGTAAAATCTGCAGAAACAGTGTTTATTCCACTTCATACAACAGCAGCCTAGT